TTTCATGATCATATATTTGCTCTCTTACTACGAGCAAATGACTACAGACAATCAGCCCCACTTGGCATCAAATTTCTGCCATATGCTTTGATTACCAAAGGCTTTGGGAATGCATATTGTTGTTTTCCCATACTTGTGGCAAATTACATTGCGAGCCTGGCGCTATCCCAACATAATCCAGCATTAATCCAGAATTATATAAATTTCTAAATTACTTAGTGCCTCTAAAACCAGAGTTTATTATGTTGCCAGCAGGTGGGGCTTTGTTAGTGACAGTTACACAGTGTGGGGAAAAAGCTATTTTCTCCATCTGAGATGTGGTGAATAAAGAGCTGGAGCAGGAAAGGTTCTTACTGGTCTCCTGGGTGATGGAGTATGACAGTGATAAATACTCTTAACACTGACAAAAGCACTATCCCAAGTGCAGACTGTCACACTAGCACTAAGATCTAAGGATAATGACGACTGAAAACACAAAGTGTGCAGCAGGAATATAAAATACGTACTGTATGATAGATTATCCAGCATAATCAGATATCTGGTTTTACTATTCTTGAAAAAAAAAAGAATTTTAATTGCATAAAATAAGGGAAAAAAATTCCACTGCTTGAAATAAGAACATGGCAACAACTGGTTATGAAATTTGGCAGCTGACCAACAAACATTATTATAGTGATCCAATGCCAAACTAAGAATGAATCACAAAGCTTGTTGCAAAGGTTACATGTGGGAAATTGAGATCAAATTAATTCTTTCCTGTTCTGGTTTCTAGTGAAAAATACCAGCAGGATTTTTCCACATATGTCCTTGTGGGTCTGTGTGCACCTGCATTTAAGGTACTCTGTGGAGTTTTCTTGCACACAAACAAAACTCATTGTTGGCAGGTTGGCATTGGGTTCTTTTATACCTGAAATATATTGTTAATTGTTTTTTTTGTTTGTTTTTTTATCATTTAGTGGTAATAAATAGTTCAACCATTTATATACACATACATACATGTATACATATACACATACATGAGCACAAATATTTATATGTACATGCATTGAGTTATGCATCTGTACAGATATGCCGTCATCCATCCCTCCATCCATAAATACATAAATATGTATGTAGGTGTAGGGAGCACGCAGACAAGCAGATGAGAAAGGAGAGATAGAAAAGAGTGTCTACATCTCCTCTAAGAGATATGCTCTCTTATTTTTTAATGTTAGTATGAGTAATGTCGTAAATTAATTCATGACCTCATATGTCATTCACTTAAACCAACGTCTTTCATAATTCGTTTCTAACTCATAAGTTATTCTCTCCATCTCTGAGATTTCCTGTATTCTTTCCATCGACTTAATCTTTTTAGCCATTTCCTAGTTATTAACATTAATTGATGAATGATTCTTTGTATTTTATATAGTCTACTCTAGTGGTGATTTTCCAAGAATAATAGAATAACAAGACCGAATGCCAGAATGATTTTAAAACTGGGTAGAAAAAGAGAATGTGTGAAAGCATTTGTCCTGATTCTGATCGACAAGAACTAATTGGTCTCACACGGTGAGCACTATTGCTGCTATAAGAAAAGAGCTTCATAGATAGATATACAGGAAGTCACAATGTGACAAATACTAGCTGTATGTTGTTTCTGTGCCATGTGAAGTTACACAAAGGTGTTTGAAATTGCTTCAGCTTCCGTCTCCCAGCTGGTTTGGTTCTTCTCATGTTTTCCTGCGAGCTGTGTTATCCAGAACATACAGTACCCTGTGCGTGTTGTTGGTGAATTGATCTGGAAACTAATCCTGTGATTAGAGTGGCAGAATATTGTTCACTGGTCCCACCCTAAAAGAATCCAAAAGCACACAGTGGGGATGAAGGCTTCATTTCAGATGGAGATTATGACAGAGATTAGCTGCTCTATAATGCAGCGCACTTCCTGTTTTCTGTGCAGTTCAATTTCTGCAACTGTGTATCTTCAAAACAGCACCTGTCACAATGCTACAGATAGTTGAGTGCATTTCACTTGAAGTAAAATCACAAAGAAGAGAGAAAGTGTCAGAAATTTCATGTGTTGGGACAGGCTTTGCTTCGCTTGACAAGTTAGCAGGTGCAATACGGTATCATTGTATTTGGTATCTGTAGGATGCTTTGTAACCAAGAACCCCTCTAGCATGCTGCTGACAAGGGTTTAACCCTGGGAAACGGGATTCATGGGATCCATACCCATCCAAACCATGTCTTGTTTCCTGAGAAATAATACTGAGAACCAATTACTTGCACTTTACAAACTAATTTTGTTAAGGCTATACAATGAAGAACTGTCAAATATTACTTCTATGAGGCTGATCTCAGCAGACAGATCGCAGCCAATGAACTTCACTACTGCTTGATCAGCTCAGATCAGCAAAGGATGCACTTTTATTGCTTATTGATTTGTTAAAGTGTTTTTTGACACACACACTCTCTTTGGATAAACTGAACTAAATTTGATTTGTCGTAGGTTGGGAGCAGATTATTCAAAATTGGCTGTTTTTAAAGATGGATACATACCGGTTTGAACAACTCTTTGGGATGACAAGATTCACTGAATTCCAGGATATTCAAATGTACACTATCAGGAACTTAACAGCCTGACATCCCAGTGTATCACTGGAGGTCTATGAAGAATGATCTGATGAAGAAATTACAATGGCAAATAGTGTTCCCCAGTGCGTAATGAGGGTTGCGTTAGTTAACGAGGCTAAACAGAGAAGGCAACACAAACAAAATGATGCTGAATCAAGACTGGAGGAAAAGTCTTCACAGTGGAGAAATTCAGTTTCTCTTGTGAGAGAAACTGAATTTTAATATCGAGGAGCCACAGGGACGAGCTTTAAGGGGGTAGTAGAGTTGACAAGGCTCCAGGATATTTGTCTTTGAATCATCCTCCCAATTAAAAGAGCAAATAGATCCATAAATACACAGACGGGTTTTCAGGAGCTTGCGGCTCTGTAAGCAAGATGGATGTATTTATAACACTGCTCTGTCACTGCAAATGAAATAAGGCTGCATAATTGATGTCGGGACGATAAAGAGTTCAAGATACATCTAAAAATGGGCCTGGTCTCCAGAGAACTGTTCAGTTCTTTCATCAAGCTTTCATCAAGTACAGCACAGATAGAACAGCTACAACTCTCCAACCCTTCTGGGTTTGTTCCTAGAAAAGGGTTTACTGAATTATGTGGAAAACATTGAGTAAAGCCAAGAACAACAAGATTTATTTTGTTTATTTTTTATCAGGAAAGAAAATGCATTTATCATTATACAACACGTGGTCGTATAACGAAATGAAAGTTTGCAGTCCCTTCATGCTACACACATGGAAAAAGATAATTCTGCACTGTATCTTTTGAATTTGCGTCTGGGGGAATGTAAACAGCAGCAACAAGATGGAGGTAATAGTAATATGTTTTGAACTTCACATAAAAAGAAACCGTATCCATCCACTTCGACTGCATTTGGGCATCAAACATCATTGATGTAAACACAGAGCACGCCTCCTCTCGTCCTGCGCTCTGTCGGCTCAGAACATTGCCCGCCGATTGAGTATCTGGGATGCTGATGGAGCAGGTCTCTATAAAGATATGGGCACAACAGTTTCTGATTTCTGGCTCTGCAAAAGCAGAGAAGTTTGAAGGAGCTAGCCTACAGGCCGCAGCATCTGAATGCACAGCCGTTGCCATAGTCACAATCTGTCAGTGAAGTCAGTTTGAACAATTTTGGCCAAATTGTATACAATCAGAAATAATTATATGATGTTTTCAGCAAAAAAGCCCAGAAATATACATGTAGCAAGTTTGAAGGAGCTACTGGCCGCTGTACATGCACAGTTGTTTTTTTTTAAATAATTTGTGGTATTTTATGCTAAATAATTTTTTCTTAGGGTGTCATGAACCGTCCTACTCTGGTTCCAATTGGCTAGTACTTGTTGCATTCATTGCTTTGGTTAGTTATAGGTTTAGGCATGAGAGGTGACAGGGGCTAGGGTTAGGGTAACAATGTCAGAGTAAGCCAATCAGAGGCAGAGTAGGGCGGGTCATGACTGCATCCTGGGGAAGAAGTATTGCATACAGTTCAGGTGCTGACACAACTAAATGCAGTTTAGCATCCAGAAGTGCAAAAAGCAGTAAAGTGCAGAGTAAGGTACATATGTACAGAGTAAACCGTAATGGGTAGATATGAATGCACTTATATATACATATATATATATATATATATATATATACAGTATATGAACAAAACATATAATAATAACATATTAAAGGCGACACATTTACTTATTAAGATTTATCAAGTAAATGCTTTGTGGTCTTTGCCGGATTGTATCGCCGTCATCAAATGTTTATTAATAAATTATTATTATTATTACTTTTCTAGATACTGGAAGTACTTTTCTAAAAACGTGGATTTGTCTGTGGGAAACCAATGAGGAAGTAAAGCCAATATCAACAAAATACGAATAATGTCTAATGTCAGCCCACATCATCAGGGGCTTTAGGGATTTTCTATTGATTCTTGAGGAGCAGTTGGATGATTTGGCAGCATCCGGCACTGTAAGAGCTGACCTGAAGTCTGTTGTCATCAGCTGCTTCATACATGCTTCACAATCACATGGCTCATTCACAACTGTGTGGCGAGTAGCATCCATATTCATCCCTGAGTGTTCATAACACATGGCACTGTGTTTTATTAAGTTTGTACATTATGTTAACTCACAACTAAATGTTTTAATCTGCCTTGATTTATGCACAGTCACAGTCAACTTTTGCATAAATGACTCAAGTACTTTGTCTTGCTCAAGGACACTTCAGCAGCTTGCTGCACTGGGGGAAGACGCTTAATACCTCACATGCATTTACTTACTTAATAAATCTATTTTTTCTGCCATTTTTTTCCTGTGTGTTGCTATTTTGGCATATTATTGACATGATTCATGATTACTTACATGATTTGTTTCTCTTATTGTGTAGGACCTTGGATCTATTGGACAGGATAAAAACTGGAAGGGCATTGGCATCTCCCTGCTGGTTATTATGTTGGTGCTCTCACTCATTGGACTGTCCATTGTTCTGCTGTCTAAAGGTGAGGCTTCCTTGCAACATCCTTTCACAGTTTGCATGAATGCTGCAAACTATTCAGCTTGTTCTGCTTTAATTAACATTTGTAATCACAGGTCTGTCTGAGCTGAATCACTCCAGGTTTTAATTGTTAATGCGGAGGAAATGTAATAATTGGGTAATAAAAAGTGGAGAGGCGATGAGTAATCAACAACATCTGGAAGGGATTTACTGCTAAATGTGTCACTTAATATAACTCCCAGTTTTACAATCATTTATGTTAAATGTAGCTTTGTTTGGATGCAGTAGGGCTAGTTATGCCTATACTTGTCCACATGCCTCCCTTGGGCATTTTCCTTCTCTGTGTGGTTTGTATGCAGGATAAGAAAATGTGATTAAATATCTGTAGTTTTGATTTACCCTGTGATTTTTCTTTAACCTTTGTAGCTTTATTTTAGGACTTATTATCATATTCAGAAAAAAAACTGTTTTTGAAAGTTGATATACCAAAAGTGTTTTTTCTTCCTGCAGATGATGGTGGTAAACCCTTTGGTTCACAGTTGACGCTGGATGACCTCTTTCAAAGAAGCTTCCAAATACATGATCCTGAGGCAAAATGGATCAGTGGTAAGTAGAAACCCAAATTCAAATAGCTGCAAACACTGCAACCAGTTGAAATATGAAAAGTTACATGCTGTTTATGTTGGACGATACTCAATATTCAGTCTTTCTTCGATATCTGCACATCACACTTGGGAAGGTTTAGGAAAGACTGTTGTTAGGGTAAATGAATGATGGTTGATATGTCTGATGGGTATGGTTAGGTTTATACAACAGCAACACTTGAGGATTTTACGTTGTTTGATTAAATGGAAAAGGCTTTAAATATCTGCTATAGACCACAATATCTTTGTCAAAGCTTGAGATGTTTTTAAAGAGATACAAGATAGTTGTTTTGGTCACTCTGTTTCTGACTGTTGTCTTTGATTATCATACTGGTGTCTCTGTTCCAGTAGAACATTATATTAAGATATAAAATGCAGTTAAAGAGGCAGTTGTAAAGCCTGTAGAAATCTTGTTACAAATTGAAAAAAAAGCAACCTTGCCCTACTAAGCTACGAAGGTTAGTTTGTAAATGGAAGCTCCATGCAACAAGAAGGTTTTATTTTACTTCCAGTGTTTCTAATCTGACATACAGATTAGCAGAAACAGGATTCAGTCTGGGTTCTCTAGCATATTACTTAATGGCCTTCTTTAAGAAGCTTAACCAGGAGACTTTTTTTCCTGCAGACACCATAAATAACACTCCAATTACCACTTTTCTTAATGGAATAGTCCTCTTCTTTTAAGGCACTCCAGTGAATCCAGTCCAGCTGTTTTGGTGCTCACAAGCTCTCTGAGCCTTCCTTCCTCTGAAAGGACCACTGTGGTTGGCTCCACTCAGTCACACTTAGTTTTCCACTTCTGAAGCCTGACCTTTTAAATCTACCCCTCCTCTAAAATGCTCCTCTTACAAAAGAGTAATTTAAATATATATATATATATATATATATATATATATTGGGCAAAAAGGTTGGTATCTTTAAAAAAATACATCTCCTTCGTTAAGATGTTTTTGAAAAAGAGAGTGATAAATAAAGATGTTTTTAAAGAGTGAATCATGCAAAGCTACTCTATGGAGAATATATAGAGTAGCTTAGAATACAGAGCTGGAATTTAGCATAATAGGTTCCCTATTTTGAGCTTTGAGTCTTAAATACAGGTGAAACATTTCTCAGTACAAATATGTCAGTCCTCTGGGTTATTGTTTCCTGTCTGTGACCTATGTTAATATAACTTTAAAACAAATAATAGGTTGAAGCTGCAGTAGGTAACCTTTCTTAAAAATTACCAATCAGAGCGGAGAATGAGAATACTTATAAACTGCTCCTCTGAACCTAGACTCTGGTGCCGGCTATGTGTAAATGCAACATGACTCCTATGTTAATCAGCTATTATGTGGAAGCAATTGACACTACTTCAATCATAAGCTGCCATGTCACTTAAAATACTCTTCTTATATTTGTTCTGAAAATGTCTAGGACTTGTAGATCACATTGACACTTCATTTATTCAACAAAATAATGGTTTTCTTTATTTCTTTTGCTTGGCAACATATTTATGTATTATGACTTCAATAAAATCAGACCTCAGTCAAGAAATAATTGGGAATTTGTATTTGAGAGCAACAGAGACACCTGACTTAAGGGAGGCTCTTAAAGGGCATTTGAACACCTGCTTCATCACCATAGACAGCACAGCTCACCCCTCTCTATGGACCGCTGTGCCATTTATGTATTAATGGCAGCCCCACGACAGCTGCTCCACACTAAAATGTTAAGTCAATCCAGTGTCAAAAGCATCCTGTTACTCATTTTTTTGGTGCATAATGACAATATGGGAAGAAGACATATAAAAACATTACCATAAAAGGTTAAAAGGGAAGGACCAAGAGAAAATGCCATTGTACAGCTGAATTTCTTTACATTTATGTTATACACCAATCATTTTAGTAGTTTCCGTTTTAAAAATCAGGGTCTGTTTTCAGTAGTGCTTGAAACAGACTTAGCCAGAGTCTGGCTGCCCTTTGAGCCTCTGGTCGGTCATTACTAGGTCTGTTTGGATCTCAAAGGTACAACAAGTCAGTACTACACCAAAGCACAAAATGATCACATTTTATCTGCAGGGTGTTGACAGGGCAATTGTTAATACCAATGACTCAGTTCATTGCACCAAAACTGGTCATTAATGTTCTGGTGCTGAGATTTATTGGCCTCCAAACCTCACAGTACTCATTTTTTGAAACATGCCAACATCTGACTGGTATTTTTCAACAGCTTATCAGACAGTAATATGAGAGAATGGCTGGCAGTCTCATTATTCCTGTGTGATAAACACACAGTGTCAGCTACAATATGACAGGAATGTAGAGGGGGAGAAGAGTGCCAAAGCAAGAGTGAAATATAACTAATTACAAGCCCTCGCTGTTGTAAAAGTATATTCAACTTTCTAATGTTGTAATGTTTACAGCTGTTACGTTGCAGTGTTAATATAAGTAGCCAAAAGTTCAAGAAGTCAGAGGTATCCTGATAGCTCATCTGGTACAGCTGGCGTCCTGTACCAAGGCTGAGTCCTTCCGGCCATGGTTCCGCAAGAAGTCTTCCAAATTAAACAACACAATACGTAGTTGTGTCTGCCGTCCAGGAGAAGGACAACATCAACAATCTGTGCCTTCCAAAACTAAAATAAATGTCTTTTGTGATGGGTTTTGTCAATCGAATGTAAACGTGTCATTTTGGGGGCATTTGCTGAAACAACGGATGCTTTCGAGGGCAGTGTACAGTTATGGTGGTATGGACTTAATATAATTTCTTCCTTTCTTGAGGCTCAGCGGTCAGCAGAGACCATGGGTGTATAAAGAGAACTGGATACAGTGTTGGAGGCGACGCTCCGTTCAATCCTTTGAAAGCTGCTCAGTGGTGCCTGAAGCCAAAAAGCCGCTTCCCGTAGCAAAGAAATTACCCGGATGAATACTGCACTATGGGCCGCAGAGCTCATAGTGATGTTCAAACCTCCTATCACATCCAAACTTATCGACAGCGCTCCTAATAGATAAAAAGTGACAATGTCTAAATCTAAGCTGCACAGCAGCGATTTGTCAGTGCATGTCCATAAAGTTGGGAGACTTGTGAGGGACAGATAAAATAAGAAGAGACAAAATGGAAGCAGCAGAGGTTGAAATACCCTGATGTAGTGTTGGTCTCCAAAAAACACTGGATCCAACAATTCCCACAATGCAACTCAGTGGCCTCTTTTCGTAAGGCTCTCCCTGCCTGGCAAATGATCATATCTTTCAAACTCCATCAGCCCAGATTGTAACACAGGCTTTCCCTAATGGCATCATCAAGTGTTATGGCCCTCCAGAGCCACAGAAGACTTAACACTGTTTTCGCAGGCTGGTTCTTGTTCCTGTGAAAAAAAAAAAAAACTTCTTCATCTTCTTCAATCTTCATGTGTAAAATACTGAAGTGCAACATTAGGGTAAAATGCACTTTTATTCCTTAACCTTAAAATTCCTGTCACTTTGCATCCTGACTCAACAATGTGAAGTCAACAATGAAAACCCTTATCTGGTGCTGTTTGTACTACACTGTGAAACTTGTCTATTTTCATCACACCACGATATTAAGTTCAAGGACTAGAGATGTGTAATTTATCAGTCGGGTTACAGTGTCAACAGTGGTATAACGGGGGATTTTCTTTAATTCTTGGCCTTATAAAACAGTGGCAAGTCATTGGATAGCTGGGACACTTTTAATCACAGCTGAGATTGCATGCCATCTTTATCCTCTGAGCCTTTATTGATGGAACTGTTGTCAACTCAGGAGGACAGTTGTCTCGATTTCCAATTACTTCAGCTGTAAAATGGTTTATATAACCATTGATTTGATACATGCACGGCATATAAAATATGCAAAGAGGACTGTTTTTTTGTTTGTTTTTTGCAGGTAATGGTTTCTACAAGAGCTCTTTTGAGGATTTTCTTGTCTGTTAAACATGAGCAATCCATCTGTCTTTCATATTTATTTTCCTGTCATTATACTCAAAAGTGTTTTGAGTGTTTGCCAGTCTATAGCCCTCTTGCCTGCGATTGATGCCTCAGAGCTTATTCATTGACATTAACATGAGATGGGGACCTTGAAATGATTTAGACCTGTCAAATGCATTAATGGAATTCAGGCCTCCCTGGACTGTGGTGTTGATTTGGGATTAGACTAGAGTTATTGCAGGCGCTGCTGTCATTGTTTCCACTGTTGAGAGCTGAAGTGTAGTCTCAATGAGCCGAGTCGTCTTAGACGGATCCTCCTAAATGACTCTTTGTTTTTGTTGTTATTTTCTCCTCTCTTGTCAAACATTCTTCTCAGGGGCTCCATTGGCATCTATCCTTCAACTAATCATTCTCTTGCTTGTTGTATACTGAGTCGCTTTGGACCTATTAAACCCCTCCCATGTATTTTTGATATAGACTGTCCATAGGATCACCATAGGAGCTCCTTTTGGCGGACTCGTGCCATTAAACCTCTCTGTTTCTGTGGAGCTGAGCCCTGCCCTCTGTCTTGCAAAGGAGAGGACAAAGCAGCAAAATAAATGACAGAAAAATGCGGTAACAGTAGGCACTGCGCCCTGTAAATAATATGATTTTTATGATTAATGATTGCCAGGCCGTTTCGGTGGCACCCTACACACAGCGCCTGATGTGCGTGTACCTAGCAGCGGTGCAGTATGTGTGAGGAATTTAAAGTTTGCATTAATTACGTAGCCGCTTGATTTAATTGGCATGTAACTGACCTGGACAGTTGACGTTTTGTTTGAGTACAGCAAATCCACGTGACCCTGTTGCCTATAGCTTAAAGCATTGGTGGTTCCCAACTTTTTATTTTAAGGAATCCTTTTCTATCATTGAGTAAACTGACAACCCCTGATTAAGTGAAAAGTTCATGGATATTTCATATTTCATTTAATGCATAACAATAACTGTACAGAACAATTGATGAACTGTAAAATGATCCCAAATAGTGAACACAATAACAGCAGGAACCTTGTGCAAAAAGAGCGATTTTGATGAATTTTGAGCAGATTATTTTTCAAAATTATAAAAAAACGTTTTATACAATTCTGTTTTTTTCATGTATTTTTTTTTCATGAACATGAAAATAAATCTCTAAAGTTTTCATAGCTTTTACATTTCAGTCCTTAAAAAAAAGGAATATTGTTTATATGCCACTGAGTTAGCTATTTTAATGACTAACACTTGAATAACAGATAGCAGTAAAAAAAAAAAAAAACAACATAAAATGACCTGCAGTGCTTTGACTGTGTTTGTCTTAGATGAAGAAATCATCTTTCGAAGCTGGGATGGAGACATTATGAAAGTCAGCACAAACAGCAACGAGACAGAACTCCTGCTGAAAAACACAACATTTGTAAGTGCTAACTGCTGTCTTTTTTTAAAATGTATGAAATTCTTCTAATGCATTTAGATAATTTTTATTTTATTTCATTTTTATTGAGATAAAAAAAAGCTGTAAAAAGTCAATTCTGACCCTGCAAAAGTTTTACTGTAACTTCTTTACCACTGATCTCAGTTTGTGATAATGCTTTTGGTTTTGTACCAAGACAGTGATTGTCTGAAATATTAAGTTGAATGAAAAAATTGATTTGTTTTGCGGGAAAAAAAAGGATCTCATCCATCTCTTGTTCTTCCCACAGGCAACTTTTAAGGCTTCAAAGTTTGAGGTTTCTCCCGATTTGAACTTTGTTCTCCTGGGATATGATGTCAAGCAGGTGAGAACCTCTTAATATTCAGGTTGCATTATGTTCTGACACTGGTGTTTGTCTTGGGACTGCTAATACTGGAGGTTTACAGTTCATGAACTAAAATGGAAATATGACCAACATAGAGATCTATCTGTTCGGAGTCAGGGAGTTAAAGCCAACATTGATCCAGAATGGAGGGTACAGGTTTCAGAAATATAAAAAGAAATGTTTTCAATCGCATACTACAACAACCCTGCGGGCTATGAAATTTGCAAATATTAATGCATGATAAAACATAACTATAAAATGTGTTAAACTTGACCTGACCACTTTTCTTCCATCACTTCTTCTTTAGTCTAGTGAGTTTCAGTCTCTGTGTTTCCATGAAGGGTGTTTTAAATGTTGATAGTGTTTGTATTTTATCAGTCACAGTGTACAAGCAGCTGTTTGTGCCGAGTGATCGTCTGTTATGACTCACTGCACTTGTTTTTAGAAGTTCTTCCATAGGCCAGGGGTTAGCCCAGAGGGCAATTTTAACACAAAGTGTGTTTGACACCTGTCACTCATCTGTCTCGCAGAACAGATACATATCCATTATAGCTTATGTAACAATCCACTCTGAGTTACTATGCAACCCCCTGCACTAATGATTAATCAAAGACCCCGGTTTCACTATGAGCTTTCCAGTTTTAGAGGCTTATTTCCCTCGCTCACTACGGTGAGCCAGAGAAATAAAATCAATTAATCATTACAAAAACACGATGCTCTTTCTGTATATTCCCCATAGCTGAAAACTATTGTTTGTTAATTTCTGACATTGCTCACTCTGGTGAGGACAGTTCTTATCTCTAAGCTTCTCAGGAACTGTACTGCTGACAGGACAGCTGGTGTTGAGGACAGTGATGGCCAAATGGAGGTCATTTGACCGTCACTGATTTACCGTTTTTGATTTAAAAACAGGTCAAAACACAAGCGTCAATAGTGGCATAAACACAGACACAATGTTGAGCTATAGGGGACGGGGTACCGGAACACCAACCAAAACCTGATGGTTTCAGAAGAAAGAAACCCTTTTAGCATTGCAATGCACAAAATATTATAATCTCTCGGGACTATAAACCATAAAAACTAAACACATTAAACACAAATGAAATCTACAAAATAAACTTTTTTTAAATAGTAGGTTTTTAAAAAGTTGAGACAGCAGCTCGGATCTCCTCAGGCAAGTGCAAAGGCTCTATCACCTTTTTGTATAAATATACTAGGCAATGCCTGTGCTGTTTCAAGTTGATTATTCTTATGAGCTTATACTGCATCTTCGGAGTACTACCAACCGTTTGGTTCAAGTTCATTATTGTCATATGCACAACATTTACAGTGAATTAGTCGTTGGCTATGACATTCTTTCGTTCGCAGGCTCCTTCCAACAAAGCTCAGACAAATGTGTACATAAAAATAATAATAAAATTAACTCTAATCTAAAACCAAATGACATAAAATAGAGCAGAACAGTTTGTAAAACATAGATAAATACATATAATGTGTGTATATTGTGATGTGTGCAAGTATAAATGGGTAGTTCAAGTTACTTTAATACTTTTTTTGTAACATTCCTGATTAAATACGTTTTACTAGGTATTTTGTTTTCACAGTACAAATAAAAATTACAAAACTAAATTAGTGTCACTTTAACTTAACAAAATTGATGTTAGCTTAAGTTAAATAAATATAAATCCTGAAATGGAAACACGTTGTTAACAGTAAGAAACTAGGTAACAGGTGGAGGCTGTGCATCAATAATATCAGTATGACATTGGTATAAAATGTGAAGTGACATTAATGTATCACACGGTGCGAGTAAAGTGACTTGAGTCATGAGCTTGAGAGTTCAACAGGATGAAGCTGTGCCTGAGCCTGGTGGTGTGGGACAGTCTGCCGGAGGGCTGGGATGACTGTGGTCTCTGATGATCGTGTTGGCCTTCCTCCTTCACCAATGGGTGCTGCGGTAGCAAGATGGTGTATGAGAGACTGAGTCATACTGCAATGTGTGTGTTCATTGTAATTAAGGAACATTTCACCCAGTGCAACAGCGTGGCTCACTGATGTGTTTTTAATAGTTTTTTGTACAACGATGGAGCACAGAAGAAGATATATCAGCTTTGATACACACACACACACACACACGCAGAGAGAGACACACACACAGTAGTTAGTCAGTAGTATCAATGAATAGTTGATTTTAGTCTTGTTGTGGTATTTAAAGACAATAGGAAACATTTTGAAAATCATTTGAAAGTCATCATTTACGTGACAACACCAGCCACCTGTGCTGTTCAGCATAATTGCGCTCGAACAAGGATCAGTGATGATACATTACAGAACTTCTTGTGTGTAAATAAACATGATTCTGTTTAGTTTAATTAGTATTTTCATCAGTAGCATACATTCAGACTAATTATTATGTTGCACACTGTACTATCAGACACCTTCTAACTGGTGATGTTCATCTGTTGAAAGGAATACAATGAATGTAACATCATGCTTTGGTACTTACTCTATTCATAAAATGTGTGTCGGCACAGTGGAAAGCAGAAACAAGATTAGCATGATTTTTGCTCTCCAGCATGGCAGCTGTTGATCAACTGCGGGATCTTTGCTACACTGACCTTGATGCTTTGTTGGTCCTGTAAACATTTGTTTTCTTTATCGTTTCTACTCATAAAGCATCGATGTGTCTTAAACTCTATTAACTGGACTAAATTGTTTTAAGCTTTTATGTTGTATCTGAGTATAAAATATCAAAGATAAATAAGGGCTGCTGTGGCTCGGGAGGTAGAGCGGGTCGTCCACTGATAACAGGGTAGGCAGTTTGATCCCCACCTCCTGCTGTCTGCATGTGGAAGTGTCCTTGGGCTACACTCTGAACCCCAAAGTGCTCCTGAAAATTGCGGCTGTTTCCTCTGGGATAAGCTGAAAGAAACAATCAATGCTGGAAGTCAATTAGCAAGTTAGCAGAGTGAACAAAGGTGTTTTGACTGTGATTGTTTGGTTTAATTGCAGTTTTTTGTTTGTTTTACAACTCATTCAGATAGTAGGAGCTTATTTAAACCAAGCATTATGGTTTGAAATGAAAAAATCATGTTTTTTGTACACAACTTACACTTACTGTCTGTGTTGTGTTTGCATTTATAAAGGTGGCATAAATTAGTGATACATGCGAAAGAACACAAATCCACCAGCACAGGCGTATTTTAGGTGGTGATATACTGTATGAAAGCCCTTGTAATTGGTGTGAAATCACATGCAAGTGATGGTAAAGTTGAGTTGAGTTCAGTTATTTTCATACTACTATTTTTTTACTTTTCATTTGTAATAGTATCATTATCCTATTTACTTCTGCCAAATTACAACCATTGAAGAAATGCTTGAAGGGCAAAAAGCAGTTTGATCTAATTAGCCTTTCGTGCCAAAGGGTTTGAACTCTGTGTGTCAAACAGTTAAGTGTAATTGCCAATTGCCAATTGCATTAGCACGATGTTCCCCTGAGTCAATCTGGTGTTAGCCTGTAACCGTTTTAATCTGGAGGTGACAAGTGGATTACAATATCAGTGTGTGTTGTGGGATTGAATATTTAATCAGATGAATTAAAAACCACTACATCGAAAACTAATCACTACTGATTGCACTGTAGATACCTAAATGCCGGAAACTTAATTGCTGCCCCGTCTTTGACTGATGTTCAATTCCAGAGTATTTTCAGGAGAATATTAACTGTAAATACAAATATTACCTAAAGAATGTGGTTAGAAGTACCATACTTTTATTCAGCTCTGAGCAGCATTTGCAGGTATTCCTTTGAGGTTGCATACAATACTAGTTCTCTACCAATAAAGCAGTCGTATTTTTTAACATAAAATATTAAAAAGTTACTGGATTTGGATCTGTCACATTAGAGATTTAGTGTTAGCAGGTGGTTCTAATACTTTAACCATCCAACTACTAAAGGCTGCTACTATAATGATTTGTGATTGGGAGATCAGACTGGAGCTCTTATAAACAAATGAAGAAAGTTAGTATAATGACAAATTCACAGTTATGACTGTATTTAGTTTGCCGACATCAACTTTAACAAGTTCTAGAAAAGAGAACTTTGTGTCTTCTCGCACTTGATGAAAATGTTGAGAATGTTGTTGGATTGAACAGGTGTTACTGTGTTCATGCCAAGTGCCTTCTCTCATTGTGCTAACTTCTATTGCCTGAACTCTCTCATTGAGAAACATCCAATGCCCTCCAAGGACTAAGACATTCTCGGGGATCTGCATTTAATGACCTCAATTGTAAGGAAGTGTTTTGGCTTATTAAGAAATGTACACATTGATGTGGAGCATTTTCTCTTTTTCTGGTGATTTCAAGCAGTTTTATGCACATGTGAACTCTCTTTTCAAGCACACACCTGCTGAAATTAAATGTACCAGCTCACTGGCTTTGTTTCTGATTCTGCTGTAGTGTGCTCCACTGAAAGCCTGAATGAGAACAGATGTTTGTTTATGATGTAAAAAGATGAAAACATGCAAGCTTATCAAAAAATATGTTTTTGCATCACATGGCGTCCTCTGATGTTGACCTGATTTCTGCTGTCGTGTGTGCATGCAATTCTAGTCAGTGTTTCCCCTCACTGTGGTGAGAAGAACTCTTCATCGAGATGTGCAACACAAAAACCTCTTGACCTATATGTTGAATGTGACAAAGCCTATTTTGTGTCAAACTGGCCATTTACTAACTGTGTGCACACACACTCGACAACAAGCTAATTTGGCAGCTATTGTAGCTATCAAGGCACCATACAGTGCGGTGCACTTATTGCATTTTATGGAAAGCTATTCAAAGCAATGTCTTCTTTGGCTTGCTTTAATTTCATCAAGAAGCATCCTAAATTAAAACACGCACATATGTTCCGCTTGTTGCTTTCAATGAAGCACACTACAGAAGAATGAGAAACAAAGCCAGTGAGCCAGTGTGCTGTTATA